TCAAGCCCGGCCCTGGGGGAGGGGTTCCTCCCTGTGATTATGGGCCGAGGTGCACGCCCACTCCTCATGAGACCGGGGCAGACGTTGCGGGTGGCCTGGGAGGAGGCAGGAGTCACTAACACACTGCGTGTCTCCCCAGGGGCTTCTTTGGGTTTCTGCTGCGCAGGAGGTGCCCGTCGAGGGAGCAGAAGGTAAGTCCACCAGGGCAGGCACCGGGGAGGTGGGAGCGTGGTGTCCATCTTCCCCTCTCTTCTTCCAGGAGGACTTCTTCTGGCTGAGGTGGCCATTCTGGCCTAGGGACATGCACAGACCTCGCAACACCAGGCGCAAGAAGAACATGGCACAGAATCTGCACCACGGGGATTCCGACGATGAGGAGGATGAGATATTCAGCCGTGATAGTCTTCCAGGCCCAACTGGGTAAGCGGCTGGGCCTGGAAGAGGAGGTTGGGCAGGCCGAGCTGCTCCCTTCAGGGGAACAAGCCTCAGCCTGTCCTTCCCACCCAGGGACAGCAGAGAAGCCCTGACGGAAAGGACGGTGCCAGAGGAGTCGGCGGAGGTCGACGAGGAGACGGAGTGGCCCCAAGGGGAGGAGGCTGTGTAGTGACTCCAACTCAAAAAATGAAGATAAAATAAAATACCTGTGTTACAAGCAGTCCTGGCCATGTGATAATAAATTAAAATGTAAATAGCAAAATGTGAATAAACAGATAACAAGAGCCCCAGGACAGGAGAGCAGGGCTGAGCCATCTTTCCCAGCAGCCACCACCTATGGGCCATGGGCCAAGGATTCAGGGCCCCTGTCGCTCCCAGTTCAAGCGGTATTGGAAGCCTGGCGACTCCGTCCCTGGGTATGGGGCTTTCAGACCCCTCTCCCCTGTTCCCCAGGGACCAGTCACGGCACTTGGCCTCCTGCCCACTGGGACCGTCGCCTTCGGGCCGCTCTCCCAGGGCTCTGGGCTGCCTGCAGCGTGGGCCAAGCCCTGCCTTTCCGCGGTCCTCAGCTCACGCATGAATGTGTG